ATAACATTATAACACTGTAAATATATGCACATTCGTGTGGGCATGTAGCTAACATTTTAATTACCATCAAAGCTTGCTAATTATTTATCAAGAGAAACAGGCAGACTTTAAACAACACGAGGGTGAGTTACAAATTCAGAATGATTATTTTTGAGTGAACTATCACTACAAGAACAGCAGAAGTGTGGATGTAAATGGGTGAATAAACGTATGTCTCATATACTGTATAACCTCAAATTCAATAGAAAGGTTTCAAATAGAAACTCATTTTACATAAATAAAATGAATCACTAAATACAAATGTATTACAAAAGGTTTTAGACGCAAATGCGAAAGCAAAAATACATATATTTCAAATATAAACACACATATATGCCAATAATCTATATTGCACCATAATATCATCTATATTGCAATAAAGCAGTAGATGTTTAGATGTCTGGTTATCATGAGATAGGCTCATATTTTCCCTGTCTGCTGTATTTGACGTCCCAGTTCAGGACAGTCACAGATGAATCACTCTCAATCAGAGCAGGAACATGTATTAAGAAAATAAGCAAATGATTGATTTGACGCTGACATTAAATCAGCAAGTTCAATCAGAGCCGTGTGCTTGAGTGGAAACAGGCCACTGAGGTCTGAACGGGAGAAAAAGGCTTCCTGAAACGTCTGGCAGAATGAACACAACTATGTTTGACAGGCCTGTAATGAAAGCAACAGCTGTGGTGTGTGTGTGTGTGTGTGTGGGCAGACTACACAATGGCAGTGAAAACTCAGCCTATTCCTGACCACTGGCTCCATGTCAAACACGCGGAAAAGACGCAAGTGAAGCTCTCGTACGACTCTGCTCTCTGTGTTCCTGTCAAATCAACAGCTTTCACACAGATACAGGAGTAAGTGTACACCTGTGCTGAGTGTGCTCAGCAGATTCTTTAAAAACACTCATTAGTCTTCAATAATGGTTTAGACAGAAGAGGTGTGCAATACTGACAAGAATGATATCTCAATATTTTTCGTGATTTTTCCCATAATGAGTAATTAAACAATATTTTGCTGAGTGTGATTTTGTGCTGGCACTTTAAGCCTGTCATGGAAAAATAAATATGATACTAATACCGCCAGTAGGTGGCGGGAAGACCCTGTCTCAATCAGTGATTCATTGAATCACTCATTTAAATGATTCATTCAAAACAGCTTCAGAATGTTCAGAAACAAAGCAAGCAACTGTCTATATCAGTGGTTCTCAAACTGGGGTACGTGAGGTGACGGAGGGACTACGCCAACAAAATTCTGAGTTTTGGCATTCATTTAATTCTACCTCAACTTAAAGTAACATTAAAACCGAACATGTATTTCTGACAAGCAATAAGCGTGCATGTGATAGGATGCCCGCTGAATATGCTGCTTTAGCAAATCACGCTGCTGTTCAATGTATCTTTAAGTAGATCTTCACTTAATATAGCATGAAGAGCAAATATCGACACGCACTGTACATTGAGATCGATTTAAACTCTCTTCGATGAAGACACATACCCTGTGCGAGTTATTGTTTTCATGTTTAAAATACGAGCAAGAATGCAGATTTCCCTGAATATCAAAACGACGGCAAACGTGACAATTTTTATAACAGTTCAACAAAAAAGGTCATATTAAGTGAACATTTAACATTTTAAATGTAGCCTACATTTTAAACAGAATAGTGTCATGTTTGTTATATTTTGCAACGAAATAATAGTTCCAACGAAATCCATATCATCTGGTGCGTCTCCAAGCAACACACAGCGGTGTTTCGTTAGTGAACGAATCTGCGGCTTTGAACGATTTGGAGAGTCAGTGATTAATAACCCATTCATAACTACAGCCAAAGAGTACAGAAGCCAGTATAAGTTCTTTGCTACAGCATTTTGCTTCGTTGCTGAATGAATGAATGAATGAATGAAACACTGCAGGGTTTCTTTGTGACGTACAAATATTCTGATCCTGCTTTGCTTAGAAATTCACTGGAAAAACAGACAACATTGTTTAAGTCGCTGCTTAAGACACACTTGTATTCCTTGTGACTTTTTTTGTGTATTTGTCGTGTGTGTGTGTATCCTGACATTGTTAAGCACTTTGGTCAACCATGGTTGTTTTTAAATGTGCTATATAAATAAAATTGAACTGAACTGAACTAAACATTGTGTCTAATGTGTAATTCACTTAAAACTAACATCTTGTTTGTTGCATTGTTCGTTGTATAAAATTAATCTAATTTGCAATCGCGCTGACATGCTGATATTCAGGAAAACAGCACTCTGGATATTTTTTGCATAAATTGAATTATAGAGTCATTCTAACTGCATTTTTTAATAGGATTCATCAGATAGCCAATGCGTTAGGACTGTCAAGATGCATTTCTGTTTGTTTTTTTGCAAAGTGAATAACACTCCATAATGTAAGCTTGATAAAGCAACTCATATGACAGCCTATCCTAGATGATAAATATCGCATACCCTTAACAGACAGAGGAAGAAACAAAACACTGCTTTCGAGTGAATGAAATGGCAGCGTGTTCATGTAAATTCAGTTCCTGAATTCGTATCTGAAGTCAGCATGAAATCAAAACTATACTATATCATCACGTTCCTGATCGTACTGTGAATTATTTAAAAGTTTGTTATTCCAAAAAAGGTTTTTTTTTCATCTCTGAACAACTAACGCCATCAATCCATAGACTGTATAAAAACATGGACGTAGTGTCCGTGACGTCACCCGTAGATTTCCGAAGAGCGTTTTTGAAGCTCAAAGTAGGCGGAGCGGGCCGTCGCCATCTTGGCAGAGCGTCACTCCCGTATAATCGAAAATGGGCAAAGAGGCGGAAGCAGGTTGCTGAAACCACGCCCACCTAGCGTGACGGTGGTGACAGCAGCGGCAATCCACCTGTCACTCAAGTGGCCACGCCCTTAATTATGCAGAACTTTAAGGCTTAATATAATTTAAACGGATGAGTTATAAAAAAATTCACCCGGCTCACAGTTGTCATGAAGGACAAAATTAGCTATATAGACCAAAATAATTTTTTGAACCAGGCTATAAACATGTTTTTTTCTGCTGTAAATTTGGGCATTTTAACATGGGGAGTCTATGGGATTGACTCCCTTTTGCAGCCAGCCTCTAGCGGCCAGTTGATGAATTACAGTTTAAGTCACTTCCGTGTTGGCTTCACGAGAGAGAGCGGGAGGTTGCCGCATGCATCAATCACTATTATTTTAACCACCTCCCACCTTATGTAGCTCCGCCCCTTTACAGCGCTGCGCTAGGTGCGCGCCTTGTCTTCGTCTTCCGCTTTGTATTTCCACGTGAAGTAAAGTCGTACGAATTTATAAATGAACCGTTCGTTTTAAAATCTGCCCGGTCTACTGACATTTGTTATGGCATTCGCTTCAAACATTACAATGCACATGATAATTTTTGTTTACTCTACAATAAGTAAATCCACTTCACCAGCTAATTACTCTTTAACAGTGATGCTACAGAGCTACGCAAAAATGGAAGTTCAAAGACAGAGTTTTAAAGATGACTGCGCACTTGTTTCTCTGGCGCATAATGCCTATAGAGAAACTTTTCACCATCCAGTCAATTACCCGTAGATAAAAATCATAGATTTAGATATTTATTTATTTAACAAATGTCAATAACGGAAGTTCAAAGACAGACAAAGACAACAAACAAGTTAGAAACCACTTAAACCACTCCTTATCAACTGCCTAACAATAATTTACAAGACTTTAGCAACTACCTAGTAACAATCCCTAGCTGCCTAGCAACCACCTAGAACACCTTAGCAACCATTTGGAACACTTAGAAACTGCCTAGCAATCACTAGGAACACTTTAGCAACTACCTAGTAACAATCCCTAGCTGCCTAGCAACCACCTAGAATACAGTTTGGTAGCTGTTTCATCTAAGCGACAATGTTTCATATTTTATCAGTAAAACGTTCATTTCACACTTCAGTTATCAGGCAAGAAGAGATTCATCAAGTCCTATTTTCTCACACTTTTTTTTTACATTTTTACAACTATTTACATGACTTTAGTAAGAGCACGAAATAGTTTTACTCTCCTCAAGCACTCACAAAGAGCAATATGTGTCCCTGGAGCACAAAAGCAGTGTTAAGTCGCTGGGGTATATTTGTAGCAATAGCCAACAATACATTGTATGGGTCACAATTATGTATTTTTCTTTTATGTAAAAATCATTAGGATATTAAGTAAAGATCATGTTCCATGAAAATATTTTGTAAATGTCCTACCGTAAATATATCAAAACTTAATTTATGATTAGTAATATGCATTGCTAAGAACTTAATTTGAACAACTTTAAAGATGATTTTCTCAATATTTAGAAATTTTTTGCACCCTCAGATTCCAGATTTTCAAATAATTGTATCTCGACCAAATATTGTCCCTTATTTATTTAGCTTTCAGATGATGTATAAATCTCAATTTCAAAAAAACTGACCCTTGTGACTGGGTTTGTGGCCCAGGTCATGTAAAAGAATAAACACTTCAGAGCTGAACAAAACTACATTCACATTCGGCACATATCAATCCGAAGCGATTTCCAGTGCGTTGGTTAGCTATAACAGTGTGAGTGTCGGAATCAAACAAGACCTCGATCAGCTGAACTACAAAAAACATGTTTCATATTTTATCAGTCAAGAGTTTGGGCACAACCACTCATTCACCCTGTTGCCCACCTGTCAGAATAACAGTAAAGTGATGAGAAACACAAATATGATGTAGTGCCGCTGTTGTAAAAACTCTTGAGCTTCAGTCTGTTCATGCATCAACTTCAAGAGGTGATTTCAAAGCTGAAGAAGGGACGTGCGCGCTTATCATTGTATTTTGTGAAGTAATTTGCATGCGTTCAGATCACAGGTTTTTAAGACCACGAAAACATCAGTGAAGCGCGTCCAAACTTTTGACCTAAAAGCAGGTGTCATTGGGGCGTTTTACCTTCTTTTTACCCTTGCAGTGGCAGCACACCGTCCACAGGTACTTGAGGGTCCTCCACAGCAGGATGATGAACAGACCCCCGAAGAAAGTGACCATGGAGGAGGCGAGGAAAGCCCACCACATCCTCTGGCCCCTGGGGTCACAGGGTACATCACTGGTGTAGGGGATGATCACAGCCATGTTCCGAACCGAGAGCGGATAGGTCATTATTGTCTCATCACCATCATCTTCTGGTTCTTCAGTGGGGAGCATCGAGCGTCTTTCTGGAAATCCCTGCAGCGCCCCGCTCCCGACGATCAGCCATGTTTGGCAGGGCAGAGCCCCGCGTGTGCGCACTCTCCTCCCGCTGCGCTCTGCGCTCTCGCCCGCTGCTCGGTTCTCCGCGCAATTCAAAAGTCTTCCTCAAAACGCACGCAAACTCCTACTGGAAACGCGTCGTCGCGTCTTTAAACGAGGTCGCACGCTGGATATGTATCATGATGGAAAACATCCCCACGATTTAAAGCTTGCGTCCTCGAACGGCGCGGATCTTCCGTGCGCTCTCATTCACTAACGTGTTGCGTTCAGCTCCGTTCTATCCATTCGTGGCGTTCAGGGCAGATGCACAGGTGCCAGAGGGCGGAGCCAGTCAGTCTGATGCCCGTCAGAGCGTCTCCAAACCCCGCCAATAGTCAAAACATCCATCCGCCGCTATTATTTTACAGAAATCTGTCGTGGTAACTACCGTTTTTTATTTCTAGTTTAAAATGTGTCTTTTGAAAACATTTCTTTTTATTTTATACCAAAATATGGCATTTTCAAGGACACCATGGTTAGCATAGTAAATGTTTGAAAGGCTCATTACATTTATAACCATGATTTTATACCTAATAATGGATACGAACTTATTTATCGTTAATTATTGTGTATTTATTGACTTAATTATTGTGCATAGTCAGATCAACATGTGTCATATTTTGTAACATGTTGCGTAAATGCATTATATCCCAGATTTTTATTATATATGTGCCTGTTATTGAAAGGTTTTCCATCTGAATCAATGCACTCCAGATTCTGGGGAAATTTAAAAATAATAAATAAATAGATAAACAAGGATGCAAACTTACAAAAGCTTACTGAGAAAGTGGAAAACCCTTTTTATTTTTCTCTATGGCTTCAAATAAGTTTATTTTTAACCTAAATGTTTTTGGGATCAACGTGAGCTTGTTTTTCCTTTTGTATGATAACAAATAATCTTCCCTCTGCCTTATGATATTTTCCGCTGACCAGCTCAGCCAGTAATACTATTTCACCTGATGTGATGTTTATGTAATACCGGTTATGGAGAAGAGGCTGAAGAAGGATATGACGCCATCTGGTGACTCTTCACAGGAACTGCATCATCATATCATCCACATGACACACCACACATTACATTAAATCATGTTTATAGAAATGTATAGAATATTTGAGACTTGAAACTCCAAGTCGTCCATGAACTCAGCATAAACTACAAACATACAGACTCAATACATACAGATGGAAAAAATAATCATTTTATAAAAATAAATGTTTACACAGTAAAATATGCTGGGTCATGTTTAATTTAGACTTTATTAATGTAACAATTACAAAATCATATTTTGTCTTAAATGTGACAGTACCAGAGTGTTATATCATTATAAAACATAATGGAAAATTTTAATTGGAATTATATGTTTGTTTGCTTTTTCTGCTACAATCTGAGCATCTGCACCAATTCAACACCAGCGTCATTATTGGCAGGACTGGGAGAACATTACATGATGTGAGACTTTCAATCTTTGTTGATGAAGCTAAACCAGACAACTTGTTTCATTGGTCAACACGGGTCAGAACAGGAAGTGATGTCACAGTGAACGTCCTTTAGTAAGGTAAACAGGAAGACTAGTGTAGTACAAAAGCTTTCACTAGAGAGAGAGGATTAACTAACTATTCCTGAACGAGGATTACTCAATCTCCCGTCTGGGATTAATAAAGTAGGTCTGTCTACCTTTCCATACAAATGAGTGCAAAATACAGGCAAAGCAGAAGAAGGCATTTGGCACGTTTGTTTCTGAAAACGAGAGGAGCTTTTAAGATACTACGAAAAAGAATTCAGCTCTGCCCGATACTCGACTACAAAAAACATTTAAATTAGAGTTACAAGTGAACCAGACAGTAAAAATAATCAGAGCATATAGTAAAATTATCATGCAGCAGATTATTGCATCGTTCATTAAATAAAAACAAGTACACTTAAAAGAAAATGAAATAAAGAAACGGCTACATTAAAGCTTAAAGGAATAGTTCACCCAAAAATGACAAATATCTGGCATGTCGTTTCAAACCCGGAGATCGCAGAAAGTTCACTCTGCTCTTTTCTGTGCAATGAAAGTGAATCAAAAAATTCTGATTCATATGACAACGTTGAGTGAGGAAAAACCTCAAAAAGCTCTCTAAATACATTCTTTTATGGTGCTTTTATGCTTTTTGAAGCACGGCAACCTGTCGGCTTTCATTGAGTGGAAAAGAGCAGCTCGAACGTTCTGCTAAACATCTGCTTTTGTGCTCCACAGAATACAGGCTTGAATAAATGATGACAGAAGTTTCATTTCGGGGTGAATGAACCCTTTAACATGATCAGCGATCAGAAAACAAACTTAACAGTCAGTATTTTTAACCTCAGAAAGCCGTAAATTGAGCGTCTGTGTTGAACTAGCATGCACCGATCGGATCAGACCCATACAGGGACAGACACATGAAGTTAAACATTCAAGTAAGCTGGTTCATAAACCTCATCTCTGTAAACACGAAGAACTACATGAAAGCCCTCATAAATTAGCGTTACCACAGAGAAAACACAGTGAATGGAGGATACTGCTTCTCATCTAACAGTTGTGATCGTTGCCTGAGAGTTTGTGTGTGAGTGGAGTGTGTGTTCAGGGCTGGACGATACAGTCAAAGAAAAACAGTGATATTTACATTATATTATATTTATATGCAACAAAGAGACGTTTCTGAGTGATGATGCAAATCACTGAATCAGAGTTTTGAATCGACTGATTGCAATCCATCATGAAGCTTGACCACCAAATAAAAACATATTAAACAATTAGGAAATTCATAGCTGCTCATAAAGCACTTCATATTTAATGAATATATGATATAGCGTCCAGCCCTAGAGGTGTGTAGTGAATTTAACAGCAGTGGAGTGTTGCAACAGTAAGAGATCAGTGGCGATGTGTTCTTATTACACTGCAAAACAATTATTTTCTTACTCCGTATTATTGTCTTGTACTAATATCTTAATGTTCTTAAAGGAATAGTTGTGATGTGATTGCATCACTGTCTTAGCAATGGATGCTCTGCAGTGAATGGGTGCCGTCAGAATGAGAGTCCAAACAGCTGATAAAAACATTACAATAATCCACAGCACTCCAGTCCATCAGTTAACATCTGAAGTAAGTGAGCACATTTTCTGCACATTTTCATTTCTTAATGAACTAGTTTTAAAACAAAAAAATATTTGATTATCTTATCCCACTGACAGATTTTTTTCTTGTTTTAAATCACTTAATTCTTCAGAAAACAAGACTTATTACCTTAAGTCTCTTTTCTTAAATGTAGCGTTAGATATTTGTAATGAAAAACAACAAAAATAGTAAGTAAGTAGATCATTTTCAGCAGTGTGCTGTGAAGGATGTGTGTGGTTCTTCACATGCTTCCATCAGGAATCCAAAGCACTTTGTTCTGCTCCTGGTCCACGATGGACATGATCTGAGTGCATATGTTGGACAGACTGCCGGCCTGGACGACGCCTGCAACAGAACGGCATCACAAATCACTCACCAGCACGCCGTCGTGTGCGTAATCGTGTAAACGCATGCGTGTGCGTAGGCCTGGGCGATAAAACGGTATCGATATTTATTCGACGGTACACCCTCTTCGATAACGATAGAAAAAATGTTTGATATAGCGCATGATATAGGCACGTGCTATGAGTGACGCAGACCGCACACACAAACACGAACATGAGTGCTGTGCCTGCCTGTGATGAGGAGATTGTGAATT